CAAGACACACTCCGCGCGCGTTAAAATGTTGAGGACTCGAACAAGATCCTGGTTTCGCCTCCCCGACGCTAAGGTGCCACGACGAGTTGTCCTACATACTTCTTAAATGGGCCAACATCCCGGCCAGTCATGAGTACGCCGACCTAAACTACGAATATGACGGGCAATATCATGAATCCTAAACCTAGAACTATGGGTTTACCGGGCAGTATCATAGAATTATGCGCCCAAAACCATGAAGGTCCCGGGCAGCATCGCGAGTCATATACCTAAAAACATGAATATACCAGGCACAAACATGAATGTACCGGGCATAAGCATGAATGTACCGGGAACTAATCCCAGACGTGGGTTTCTAACATCCAAATAACGGAAAAATTACCTACAACGAAGAAAAATAGGAGGGATACACGCTTACTTGGAAGTTAAGAAGAAGGTATGGCAACGATGGAGAAAATCAACGGAGGAAGAAACGGTAATCTTGCGAAGTTGTAGGGAAATAATGGCGACAAAGGCAGAGGAAGAAGGAGAAACGCGAAGATAAAAAACAAGTTATGGGACCCAAGGGTCCTATTTATAGGGGTGACGTGGAATACGAAACGTCACCCCGGGGAACCACGAACTTCCCCTCCTCGACGTCTACTCCCCCTAGGCAATGATGGCCCTACTCTCGCTAGGGTGGCGTCACGGTTCCCAAGGGTTGCCTCGTGTACCCAACAAACACAGCCCGCGAGGAATCCCTCGAGCACGCATCGACCAGGATTACGCCCCGTACGCAAATCACGAGAAACTTCTCGAGCAGTCACGGGGAAGCAAATATCCTGGGCCGGGCATCAGACCCCATGGCAAAGGCGAGCTGAGGTCAAGTCATAACTCCTGCTCCAGGAGCCACGACTTGGGAGGCTCATATTCTGGACTGGGCCCGTACCTGGCCCAAAGGCGAGAATGAAGGCCCAATCCAAGCAACTCTTCGAAGAGCGCGCGCGCCGGGGATTCCCGCCAGTGCGCCTGGCTAGAAACTGCAGTCGTGCCCGCCGTTGCCCGCGAACATGGTATCCTCAACCACGTGAACCCCAGCTCGAGCACCCTCCTCGTAGGGCAGACTCTGACCGTTACCAAATCACCTGAACTCCGAAAAGAACGCGTCTTCGTCCCTCCTCATTTCTCGCAGAGCATCACCAGGAAGGAGACCACGTACGGGTCCCCACTACACACGTAGAACCTGGCAGTTCCTTTATTGGGCCAGTTCTGGTCGGCCCAATGAAGGGACCTTGGCCCCGTGCTGGGGGCTATAAATACCCTATGTTCCTAGAGGGTCAGGTATTCATTCTCTTACCCATACATACACTTTTTTTCCTACTCGTACCACCACTAACTTTAGCATCGGAGTGCCTTGCAGGTACCCCCCCCCCCATCTCGCTCAACTTCTGCTCGGAGCCAGTCCTGACGGTCCAAGTCTGATCAGGTAAGATCAGTAGGTTTGGTCATAAAAAATCCTTTTTCTACAGGTTGTATAGCTATCCCAAACCGGATACACGACATAAAAGAAAATAGAATGGTGTTAAAGCCAAGTCTAAGAGGCTTCCCAAGAATGATACTCGTGGACTCATACTTCACACCTCTCTCACAACTTCTACAAGAAATCATTGGTATTTTGGTAGTGGTTGTTCTAGACACATGACTGGTGTTAGGAAAATTCGTATGCACATTGAACCAAATTCCTCTAGATATGTCACTTTTGGAGATGGCTCAAAAGGTGAAATAAAGGGTGTTAGAAAGATGAACGGTGTTGGTCTTCCAGATCTTGATAAGGTATTGTTTGTTAAAGGGTTGACTTCAAATTTGGTTAGTACTAGTCAATTGTGTGATCAATGTTCAAAGTTAACTTCACTAAATCTACTATACTTAGTAGCTTAAGAGTGATTGACAATACTTACAATTCAATAGAGATAGTCCAACTCATATATCAAAATAATACAAGAGTGGCTCACAATTCACACGAACAAAAGCCCTAAAACTCAAACAAAAGTTACAATTCAATCCACACCTAAAACTAGCTTTGTAGCAATCTATTTAAAGTAATCTTCTGGACTAGATTAGGCTTCACAAGCGCAGCAAATCAACTTCTACAAATCAGCATAAACTTCTTCATAAAGTTAGGACTTCAATCATTAGTTTCCTAAATTATCTCCGTAATTAGAAATTAAGAATATTCCTTGAATTAAGCTTGAAACTCTTAATCCTTAAATTGAGAGCCACATAGGATATCATAATATTCCCAGAATATTTTGCATCTGTAAAATCTAAATGAATCTAATTGTCTATCTGTACACAGGCACGATGTCGAATGATTATACATAGGACATCTTGTTCAACATGTTTCTTCAGTTGATAGAACATCTTATTTCAGCATGTTAATGTTAAATTAGTTTTACCAAACATAATGCCAATCACAAAAATAGAGAATTAACAAGAAGTAATCTCCTAATTTAGTAAGTGGGTAATCATATGTAAAACAAAGGGGCTTTTTCGTAAAATCATAAAGCTAAAACACACACACACACACACTAAAACTTTTTTCTAATTGATTTACCAAAAGAAAATACTTTGAAAAACGCCTAGATGTTGCATCAGATGAATTGAAAGCAGTCAAATAAGTCATGGCCAAAATTTTTATTTTTTAATCGACTAAAAATGCGTTAATTTTGTGCAATGGCTAGATATATTAACTTTATTTTGATTAAAAATGCTCAAACTTAAGGGCCAAGCTAGTTTGAATGTGCCTTAATTTTGTGCAATGGCTAGATATATTAAATTTTTTATTTTGAGAACTTACAAACATATATTTGCATCATTTAATTGATTAGCAAATTGGTCTAATCGATTAGTTAACGGTAAAATACATTAAATGCAAATTTCTTTTTGATCTAACCTATTGCCTGTAAATAGAGGTCTCATTTTTCATTTCAAAGCATCCAAAATCATGTTGTGACACTTTCATCCCTCTTTCTCTAAAGTTTAATTTTACTTTCTCTCACTAAAATTTTTAGCTAAATGCCTTTGTGAGAAAAGTTCTAGAAAAAAAAAAGTTCCTTTCAGAGTAAAGATATATCTGAAATTCTGAAAAATGGTAGAATTGTAAAATTCACAAAAGAAATATTGTGTATACCTCTTGGTTGAATATAGTCCATTTAGGAATTTATATTGGTTATAAGCTCATCCTATAAAAAGCTTATATTTGGGGATTGTGTGATGAGTCTTAGGTTTGGTTGAAAATAAGCTAGTGTTAAAATCTTCATAGGGTCTTGGTCATCTCGATTAAGACTAAGATAGGTTGAAACTCAACTCCATATTAAAGTTTCATAAGTTCGAGATCAGTCCGGCTAAAATCTCACATGTTTTTTATTAGTCCGGTTTAAACAAAAGTATTGAGTTTAGAATTTTAGAACTTGAAGACTAACCGCTCCAAGGTCCATGTTCGTCAAAAGAAGACTAACCACTTTAATCCACCATTGGGAAGGAAGATTCACCGCTTCATTATCAACAATATATTGAAGAAAAAAATACAAACGTCCATATTCATCGTCTTGTATTATTTGGTTGAAGATCAACTATCATTTCCCTTGATAAAGAATTCGTGAATCTTTGTTACTAAAAGATCTATCTCAACTATTATTGATAACTCTCAAAATCAATTCTTAAATAGAGGAGTAGATCGTTTTAATTTGATCGAACCTCTATAATTTTTTATGTTCCTCTTCTCCCTTAACTCTTTAAATTCTACAATTTATTTTTTACTATTTACTTTCCTCTGCTTAAGTTTTTCAAACTGTTTTTAATATGAAAAAGTTTTCAAACCCAAAATTTTTAAAACCACACATTTCACCCCTTTCTTATGTGCAAAGTCTCATCAAGTCCAATACCTTTCACCCAATTCCTATCTGATATACACTTTCTTCTGGGTTATAATGTGTTGGTGCTTTTTACCTTTGCAAAGGTAATGCAACTTTCTTTTTTTCCAAAACACCATAATAACTTAAATTAAACAGAAAAATGCTGTTTGTTATTGAGATGCTTCAATCCAAATAAATGCATGACATGTTAACCACCAACTATTTATACTAATCCAAAACAACTATCAATTTCTTGTATACTTTTTTCTTCGCTTTTTTATTTCAAACTTGTTCAACTCTTTAACCTCTCTTTTATAGAAATGGTAATTTCATCCTTTTAAAAATATATATATATATAATTGATAGACTATCACCTTCATTTCTCCATACTAGACAAATGACACTATGACACTTAGTTCCACTATCAGAAATGATCAATGAAATAATGGAGTAGAGTTTTGATACGCTGGAGCAGATCTGCGATACAGACGCACAAGAGTGGATTGACAAGATTAACATTTCAATGCTCAAATCACTAAGAATGAGAAGTAAAAATGTGAGTTATTGTTCATAGATTACCTCAAGTTTATGTGAGATATCTTATATATGAAGGGTGGTTATGGACATTCCTTGCTAGTTCGACATGGAACACAAGAGGCTGTCCGATAACACGTGATGGTAGATAGCAGTCCGTGGCGTGAATCCAATTTGAAGCTCCAGTGTAGAGCTGCACTATACCTTCAATTCGATGCTTTGGTGGAGTGACTTGGCCTCATCCTTTTGGGTCTATGACCAGCCCAAAAGAACACTTGCATCAAAAATCAAAATAAAAGAAATGATGCAATAGCCAGATCCTGTTACTGTCGGTTGGTTATAACCGAACTTTCAAACACATTGCAATTTCTTTTTCATTGATTTTTCACTTGTATTGAAGTGGAAATAATAATACTTCCTATGATATACAGTGTGAAGCAGATTTTTTTTATAACATTTCCTTTCAAATTAGAAAACGAAACATAAACATACAGATTACAACAACAATCAAGTCGTATCCCACTAACAACCGAAATATAATGATATTACCATTGGCCAGTCTCTAGTATAAGCTTACAACAGTGCTATTGTTGTTCCATTATTAGTGCTTCTACATTGCTGCAATTGTTCTTGGAGATGCCTTACAACCTCATTCAATCTTCGGATATTTTTCTCTTGCACTAAAATAATCTGCGGCAAGTAACATCAATTGAAAATATTCAGAAAACTTTCGACAAAAAAAGTTTTAATGCTTTTGGAATTGAGAGCATACAAACCATGACAAAATAGAAACATTATGACATGTATGTAAATGTATAGCTTTTATTTGTCGGAGTAGCATATACAACTGACAGAGTTTCTGATTCTATTGAAGAATAAGCAGATAATTCTGAAACGTTGGCATGCAGAGCTTGCAATTAGAAGATTTTCTTGTGAACTGAAATTAACCACAAAAGCGTAGCATGCACCGTACCACAGACACTAGAAATGGCTAGAATGATAGAACTAAATCGTTAAGCACTAAAACTTTTAAGATAAAAAACAAATTGTGGTAAATTAACACCGCAATCAGAGTCGCAACACTCGTACCGGCCAAAATCGCGAACCGATATTTAAAACAAAACAACAAATCAAGCCCAGAAGGAGAAATTATGGAATAAAGGAAACAACATAGAATTAGAAAGAGAAAAAAAGTGAAAACCTTTTCCTTGACAGATTCTACCCCCTTTGAAATCCGTTGCTGCTTTAAAGATAAGCTAGAAGTTGAATCAACATGAACCACAAGTTGTTGTTTCCACTCAAACTGAGAGGTGATTACAATCATGAGAAGTAGAAAAACAAGCAACAAGGGTCGAGGCATCATTTCCAATTACAACCAAAACCTGCATATGATTCAAATAACACAAATTAAGAACCAGAGTGAACTAATCATTATTATTTTGACAAAATTGAAATGATTAATAAGTACCCATAAAAATCTGAGAGGAAAAATATTAGGAATTGAGATTAAATTAAAGTGGTAGTTAGGGTTTTGATTTTTATGAACTAAAATGTGAAACACTCGTTCTAGTAAAAATTGCGTAAAACGCATGACATAATAAGTAACCTCCACAACAAAATGTTGGATGAGAAGAAAAAAAAACCAAATTCATTATTGGTCTTGAAATGGCGCGCCGTGAAAGAAACATACTAGTATATAATTATTTTAAATAAGAAAGTAATAAATTAAAAATATTTATTAAAAAATATAATTAAAGAATTAAACATAAAAGTTTATGGATAATCTAAAATGACAAGCATTTGGATATGAATTTTTTTTAACGTGACACGAAGATAATATTATATGAGATTAAATCTACTATCATATAAACTAAATATTTAAACTTTAGATATTTAGTAAGTGGATCGGAATTGTTTGTATTTTAAAATTAAAAATGGTGATGGTATGTTTTTAACTTTTTTTTTTTATTTCAAACTCTTTCACTAATCATTTCATTCTTTTTTTAAATTAAATTTATTCTTTCTATACTTTTTTCTCTTTTTATTTTATTATTTTTTTTTTATTTTTTTTTTTGTTTTATAAGATTATTGTTTATTTTACAATTAAATTTTTATTTTAAATTTATATTTATATTTTAATATATTTTATATGTATTCAATTGAATAATATTCAATAATCATAATTAATTTTTCATCAATGCTTATTTAATTCTTAACCAACTTAAATTCTTAAAGACTTTATATCTATTTTTAGTTCCTTTCTATTGAAGAATCCGATTTATAAAAGAAAAAAATATTTAGTAGTTTTTATATGTTTCTATAAAAATATCCGATTATTGTTTTTGTAAAGTCGGAAACAAATATTATTAAAATTACTACTGGCCGAACCACAAGAGATGCCAACCATAAAGTCTCATTTCCATTATGACATGAAAAAGAAATATTGACGCCTTGTTTTCTTTAACTTGAAAAAACTTTGTATGTTTAAATGGGTAGAATACATTCATGAAAATCAAAATAACAAAAATTTAAGTTTGTTAAGCATTTGTTTGGTTTAAGGATGTGAAAGAGATTCTCAAAAATAAATTATTCGGAAATAAAAATAAAAAAGTTTGATTCTTAAATATTTTAAATAAAATATATTTGATATATTATTTGATATTTTTAAGAAAATTAGAAGTTATATTTTTTAATATAAAATAAAATAAAATTTTATGAGAATGAACATTTTCACCTTCTTAAACAGGAATAAAATCATTAGAATTATTGAAAGTTATTTTATTCTTTAGAACCTTTATTCTCAAGAATAATTCTTTTTCAAACTCTTAACAAGTATAACCTAGGAACTTAATTCTTAAATTAGTAAGAAACTTGTATTATCGCACGGGTCCCGTTCGAGTTCAAATTACACTATTATTTATAAAGTATCAACTCATTATTCAATTGGTTGGCATTCACGTAGTTATAAATATAGACTAATAATATGCACTTTCTTTTTAAACATTGATCCATACTTATAATAAACTGTGATTCTCTAACTTCAATTATATTAAACAGTAGCAAATGAAAGATTTAAAAGATGGACATTAAAATTCACAGTTCGCAACTGATATCTCATAGATACGTTCACTTCTACTCGTGAATCCATATGAGTTAAAAAACTCCATTGACTCCATGTGAGTTCATTCTAAAAATTTATTAAACTTATTTTAGATATTAGCCCATTTTCCAAACTTAATATGTATGACATCTTTCTATCAAATTTCAGTTTTAAAACTTCTTTATTATGTCATATTTATATTTTTTTTACAACCTATGATGTATGACAGTTTCCAGTTAAATTACAAATTTAAAACTTTCTTATTAGATCGTATTTACATTTTTTACAAACATAAAATGTATGACAATACCCCATTAAAATATAATAAACTTTATAAAACATGCTCATGCAAATTTAACATGGAGATTAAAATCAAACCTATAACAGAATCTTCAAAATAATAAAAAAAATTAATCTTATATAGATTTATTGTAAAATTTTATAAAAAAAATATAAGTTAAAAAACTAAAAAATATCATCAAATTTCTATTAAAAACTTGAGAACGGACCAAAACTTTTTAAATTTAAAATAGACCGACTACTTTTTTGAATCAAATAAAATTTGAGATTAAAATTATAATATAGCTTTTTATATTCTAGATAAATCAATTATTTTGGTTAAAAAAATTATTAAACTTATTTTAAATATTTTTAGTATCACTTTTTATTATATTTAGTTATATTTTATTATTTTTAATGTAATGTCAATATTTTTTAAATTATCTTAATTAAAAAAAAGTATGATTAGAGAAATGTGTAATATTGTTTTTTAAATCATCTTCATTCAAGATTTGATTAAATTATCAAAAAAAAAAATGTATGTTATTTTAAAAAATGTAATGTAATGCAATCCAATTCAATCCTATGCATGTAAATGTCATTTGTTTTTGAGTGCTTACTTTATGAACTATTAATTTATATTTACCATTGAAATGGGTCTCATTTCCTTTATCATAATCTTTTATGAGTATTTGATATCAAGTTTATCTTAATAAACTAAAAAAACACATGAGTTTTGATTGCTTTGTAATTTTTTTCAATAGGTAGTCAGTGGCATTTAATAAGGGTAGAAACTGCGACTATCTTATGTACCACCATTTTCCTATCTATATACTCATCTTAATACTTCAGAAAATGTATACAACACTTTATTTACTAATTTTATCTCATCACATAAGCAGTTTTACTATTAATGGTTAAATACACTTGTAATTTCTAAAATAAACTTATGACATGTCCACAAACAAATAATTTGCATTTCTTACAATCTCTCTCACGCTTGTATTTCATAACATATCCATTGAAATTTTTTCTATTGATTTCAAATGACAAAGAACTATCATCCTAAGTTAAATAATCTTCATAGATATATAATTTTTTTTTTGAAAATGTATACAACTTTTATAATTTTACAATTAATAATTCACCTAACACTCAATTAGGGTACCTCTAGATTGGACCAAATGGTCAACACAATCACAATATGATGGCCAGACACATTTCCTTCCTTGAGCCAAACTATCCTCTTGTCACCTTCAAATACCTCTGTACATACAATCTGCTACTCCAACAATTAAACAACTATAAATAAAACATAAATTAGATATAAAGATCCTTATTGGAGACTAACCCCTAAATAATTGTCGAACAGCTTATGCAATCACTTCCAGGCACCGTCATTTTGAAATGCAATACTACCTGATAAAAAAATAAGACCAATAAAAACTGTGAAGGAAAATATTGGCTATAATTCACTAAACAACACTAATACTATCATCTTCTTTTGGTCGAATCAACGTTGCCTTTGTTGTCACTGTTGTTTTTATCTAGATTATAGTATTCGTATATGGTATTCTCAATGTCATCTTGTTGTTGTTGTTCCTCTATTACACTAATGTAATATCACTATTACGATAATGTAATAATTGGAATTATTTTCTATCTTTGACAAATTACACATCTCCAATAATTTGACTTTATTATTTGGCGAAATATCTATTTTGGTCCCTTAACTATACCATTGGGTTCAGATTGATCCCTTAATTTTTTTCGCGTCACTATGGTCCTTTAACTTTCAAAAATTCATTTTAGTATTTTTTTGTCTAATTAGCAACGGAGAAACTTTGAAATTCATCGCTAATTAGACAAAAATGACTAAAATGAAATGTTTTGAAAGTTAAGGGACCAAAGTGACACGAAAAAAAATTAAGGGACCAATTTGAAACTTAGGGATGTCAATGGGGCGGGGCGGGGCCGGGGGGACACTTCCCCATCTTTTTCCCCGCCATCAAATTCATTCCCCGTCCCCGTCCCCGATCTCCGTCACGGGGAAATTTCTATCCCCATCTCCGTTCCCCGCGGATCCCCGTTCCCCGCGGGGATCCCCATAGATCCTACATTTATTCATTAATATTTTATTTTTTTAAAATGTTTATATTTTCTATAAAAATAAAAAGCACAAAGAATTCACATATTTATTATGTTATTAAAAAATATTAGTATTTGACATTTATTATTTTTTATTAAAAATACTAATGGAACACAAAATAATAATATTTTTTTTATAAATTTCTATAAAATGCTATAAAATTCAACAAAATGAACTATAATACTTTTTAAAGTAACAATATGCCTAAACAACTAAAAAAATCCAACAACATAATTATGCTTAAAAAACTATACTTCATCAAAACTAATAAGGGATAATTATAAAATTTAGCATCATGAGTATGCTTGAAAAGCTAAAAAATACTTCATAATAAGTCAACTAAAAGCAAAAGTCAACATATCTCTATTTGCTCAATTGATAACACACGTAAAGTAGAAATATCAAAATACTTAAAACAAAGTTACATATAAATAAACTAAAATATTAAGCAAAATATCCAAACAAGTAATGATCAATCATGTCTCTCTTTCCAACTTCTCCTTGCAAGGTCTTCTTCCTCATTCCACAATTAGATATGACTTTCTTTTTCCTACGAAAAGTAAACAATCAATAATTATATTTACTTAAAAAAATACTTTAAAAACTAAAAGGTAATCAACACTAATATGTAAATTACCTTATTATCATCATCATCATCATCATCATCCATATCTTCATCCACACATTCGAATTGAGTCAACGTTTTTGAATAACCTAAGAAACAAATAGCTAAATTAAAATTTAAAAATCCTTTTCAATTAATCTTGTAAAAGATAAAAATATATTACCTTTTATATCTTTTCAGATCCAATCTTGAGTGCACATCAAAGCC